CGCATCTGTTTATTGGTGGATGTTTTGGTACAGTCTGCATCTGTTTGTTGGTGGATAGTTTGGTAGCATCTGTTTATTGGTAGATATTTTGGTACAGCCCGCATCAGTTTATTGGTTGATATTTTGGTAGCATCTGTTTATTGGTGGATAGTTTGGTAGCATCTGTTTATTGGTGGATATTTTGGTAGCACCTGTTTATTGGTGGATATTTAGGTACAGCCCGCATCTGTTTATTGGTGGATATTTTGGTACAGCCCGCATCTGTTTATTGGTGGATGTTTTGGTACAGTCTGCATCTGTTTGTTGGTGGATAGTTTGGTAGCATCCGTTTATTGGTAGATATTTTGGTACAGCCCGCATCAGTTTATTGGTGGATAGTTTGGTACAGCCCACATCTGTTTATTGGTGGATATTTTGATACAGTCTGCATCTGTTTAATGGTGGATAGTTTGGTAGCATCTGTTTGTTGGTGGATAGATTGGTAGCATCTGTTTATAGGTAGATATTTTGGTACAGCCCGCATCAGTTTATTGGTTGATATTTTGGTAGCATCTGTTTATTGGTGGATAGTTTGGTAACATCTGTTTATTGGTGGATATTTTGGTTGCATCTGTTTATTGGTGGATATTTAGGTACAACCCGCATCTGTTTATTGGTGGATAGTTTGGTAGCATCTGTTTATTGGTGGATATTTTGGTAGCATCTGTTTATTGATGAATAGTTTGGTACAGCCCGCATCTGTTTATTAGTGGATAGTTTGGTACAGCCCACATCTGTTTATTGGTGGATGGTTTGGTACAGCCCGTATTTGTTTATTGGTGGATATTTTTGTAGCATCTGTTTATTGGAGGATAATTTGGTACAGCCCGTATCTGTTTATAGGTGGATAGTTTGGTAGAATCTGTTTATGGGTGGATAGTTTGGTACAGCCCGCATCTATTTATTGGTGGATAGTTTGGTACAGCCTGCATCTGTTTTTTGGTGGATAGTTTGGTACAGCCTGCATCTGTTTATTGGTGGATAGTTTGGTAGCATCTGTTTATGGGTGGATATTTAGGTACAACCCACATCTGTTTATTGGTGGATAGTTTGGTACAGCCCGCATCTGTTTATTGGTGGATAGTTTGGTACAGCCCACATCTGTTTATTGGTGGATGGTTTGGTACAGCCCGTGTCTGTTTATTGGTGGATATTTTTGTAGCATCTGTTTATTGGAGGTTAATTTGGTACAGCCCGTATCTGTTTATTGGTGGATATTTTTGGAGCATCTGTTTATTGGAGGATAATTTGGTACAGCCCGCATCTGTTTATAGGTGGATAGTTTGGTAGAATCTGTTTATGGGTGGATTGTTTGGTACAGCCTGCATCTGTTTATTGGTGGATAGTTTTGTAAAGCCCGCATCTGTTTATTGGTGGATATTTAGGTACAGCCCGTATCTGTTTTTTGGTGGATAGTTTGGTACAGCCCGTATCTGTTTATGGGTGGATATTTTGGTACAGTCCGCATCTGTTTATTGGTGGATAGTTTGGTACAGCCTGCATCTGTTTAGGAGGATAATTTGGTACAGCCCGCATATCTGTTTATTGGTTGATAGTTTGGTAGCATCTGTTTATTGGTGGATGGTTTGGTACAGCCCGTGTCTGTTTATTGGTGGATAGTTTGGTACAGCCCGCATCTGTTTATTGGTAGATAGTTTGGTAGCATCTGTTTATTGATGGATAGTTTGGTACAGCCCGCATCTGTTTATTGGTTGATAGTTTGGTAGCATCTGTTTATTGGTGGATGGTTTGGTACAGCCCGCATCTATTTACTGGTGGATAGTTTGGTAGCATCTGTTTATTGGTGGATGGTTTGGTACAGCCCACATCTGTTTAATGGTGGATAGTTTGGTACAGCCCACATCTGTTTATTGGTGGATAGTTTGGTACAGCCCGCATCTATTTACTGGTGGATAGTTTGGTATCATCTGTTTATTGGTGGATGGTTTGGTACAGCCCGCATCTGTTTATTGGTGGATAGTTTGGTACAGCCCGCTTCTGTTTTTTAGTGGATAGTTGGTAGCATCTATTTATTGGTGGATAGTTTGGTACAGCCCACATCTGTTTATTGGTGGATAGGTTGGTAGCATCTGTTTAAGGGTCGATACTTAGGTACAGCCCGCATCTGTTTATTGGTGGATAGTTTGGTAGCATCTGTTTAAGGGTTGATACTTAGGTACAGCCCACAACTGTTTCTTGGTGGATAGTTTGGTACCGGCCGCATCTGTTTATTGGTAGATAGTTTGGTAGCATCTGTTTATGGGTGGATATTTAGGTACAGCCCACATCTGTGTATTGGTGGATAGTTTGGTACAGCCCGCATCTGTTTATTGGTGAATAGTTTGGTACAGCCCGTATCTGTTCATGGATGGATATTTTGGTACAGTCGGCATCTGTTTATTGGTGGATAGTTTGGTACAACCCGCATCTGTTTATTGGTGGATAGATTGGTACAGCCCGCATTTGTTTATTGGTGGATAGTTTGGTACAGCCCGCATCTGTTTATTGGTGGATAGTTTGGTAGCATCTGTTTATGGGTGGATATTTAGGTACAACCCACATCTGTTTATTGGTGGATAGTTTGGTACAGCCCATATCTGTTTATTGGTGGATGGTTTGGTACAGCCCGTGTCTGTTTATTGGTGGATATTTTTGTAGCATCTGTTTATTGGAGGATAATTTGGTACAGCCCGTATCTGTTTATAGGTGGATAGTTTGGTAGAATCTGTTTATGGGTGGATAGTTTGGTACAGCCCGCATCTTTTTATTGGTGGATAGTTTGGTACAGCCCGCATCTGTTTATTGGTGGATAGTTTGGTACAGCCCGCATCTGTTTATTGGTGGATAGTTTGGTACAGCCCGCATCTGTTTATTGGTGGATAGTTTGGTACAGCCCGCATCTGTTTATTGGTGGATAGTTTGGTACAGCCCGCATCTGTTTATTGGTGGATAGTTTGGTACAGCCCGCATCTGTTTATTGGTGGATAGTTTGGTAGCATCTGTTTATGGGTGGATATTTAGGTACAACCCACATCTGTTTATTGGTGGATAGTTTGGTACAGCCCGCATCTGTTCATTGATGAATAGTTTGGTACAGCCCGCATCTGTTTATTAGTGGATAGTTTGGTACAGCCCCCATCTGTTTATTGGTGGATGGTTTGGTACAGCCCGTATCTGTTTATTGGTGGATATTTTTGTAGCATCTGTTTATTGGAGGATAATTTGGTACAGCCCGTATCTGTTTATAGGTGGATAGTTTGGTAGAATCTGTTTATGGGTGGATGGTTTGGTACAGTCCGCATCTGTTTATTGGTGGATAGTTTTGTAAAGCCCGCATCTGTTTATTGGTGGATATTTAGGTACAGCCCGTATCTGTTTTTTGGTGGACAGTTTGGTACAGCCCGTATCTGTTTATGGGTGGATATTTTGGTACAGTCCGCATCTGTTTATTGGTGGATAGTTTGGTACAGCCCGTATCTGTTTATTGGTGGGTAGTTTGGTAGCATCTGTTTATTGGTGGATAGTTTGGTACATCCCGTATCTGTTTATTGGTAGATAGTTTGGTAGCATCTGTTTATTGGTGGATAGCTTGGTACAGCCCGCATCTGTTTATTCGTGGATAGTTTGGTACAGCCCGTATCTGTTTATTGGTGGATAGTTTGGTAGCATCTGTTTATGGGTGGATAGTTTGATACATCCCGTATTTGTTTATTTTTGGATAGTTTGGTAGCATCTGTTTATGGGTGGATAGTTTGGTACAGCCCGTATCTGTTTATTGGTGGATATGTTGGTACAGCCCGCATCTGTTTATTGGTGGATAGTTTGGTAAGCCCGCATCTGTTTATTTGTGGATAGTTTGGTAGCATCTGTTTATGGGTGGATAGTTTGGTACAGCCCTCATCTGTTTATTGGTGGATAGTTTGGTACCGCCCGTATCTGTTTATTGGTGGATAGTTTGGTACTTCCCGCATCTGTTTATTTGTGGATAGTTTGGTAGCATCTGTTTATGGGTGGATAGTTTGGTACAGCCCGCATCTGTTTATTGGTGGATAGTTTGGTACTTCCCGCATCTGTTTATGTGTGGATAGTTTGGTAGCATCTGTTTATTGGTGGATAGTTTGGTACAGCCCTCATATGTTTATTGGTGGATATTTTGGTACAGCCCGGATCTGTTTATTGGTGGATAGTTTGGTAGCATCTGTTTAAGGGTTGGTATTTAGGTACAGCCCACAACTGTTTCTTGTTGGATAGTTTGGTACCGGCCGCATCTGTTTATTGGTTGATAGTTTGGTAGCATCTGTTTATGGGTAGATTAAGGTACAACCCACATCTGTTTATCGGTGGATAGTTTGGTACAGCCCGCATCTGTTTATTGGTGGATAGTTTGGTACAGCCCGCATCTGTATATGGGTGGAAATTTAGGTACAGCCAACATCTGTTTATTGGTGGATAGTTTGGTACAGCCCGCATCTGTTTATTGGTGGATAGTTTGGTACAGCCCGCATCTGTTTATTGGTGTATATTTTGGTAGCATCTGTTTATTGGTGGATATTTAGGTACAGCCCGCATCTGTTTATTGGTGGATAGTTTGGTACAGCCAACATCTGTTTATTGGTGGAAAGTGGTGGATAGTTTGGTACAGCCCGCATCTGTAGGTACAGCCTACTTCTGTTTATTGGTGGATAGTTTGGTACAGCTCGCTTCTGTTTATCGGTGGATAGTTTGGTACAGCCAACATCTGTTTATTGGGGGATAGTTTGGTAGCATCTGTTTATGGGTGGATATTTAGGTACAGCCTACTTCTGTTTATTGGTGGATAGTTTGGTACAGCTCGCTTCTGTTTATCGGTGGATAGTTTGGTACAGCCAACATCTGTTTATTGGTGATTGTTTGGTACAGCCCACATCTGTTTATTGGTGGATAGTTTGGTAGCATCTGTTTAATGTTTTTCTCTACTCAAGAAACAATCGCCAACCCAAACTCCACTCCAGAAACCATCACCAACCCCCACTCTACTTCAGAAACCATCACCAACCCCCAGTTTACTCCAGAAACCATCGCTAACCTCCACTCTACTCCAGCAACCATCACATACCCCCACTCTACTCCAGAAACCATCACTAACCCCTACTCCACTCCAAAAACCATCACCAACCCCCACTCTATTCCAGAAACCATCACCAACCCCCACTCTACTCCAGAAACCATTACCAACCCCACTCTACTTCAGAAACGATCACCTACCCCCAATCTACTCCAGAAACCATCACCAGCCCCCACTTTACTCCAGAAACCATCACTAACCTCCACTCTACTCCAGCAACCATCAACACCCCCACTCTACTATAGAAACCATCACCATCATTTTTCTACTCCAGAAACCATCACCAACTCCCACTCTACTCAAGAAACCATCACCAACCCCCACTCTACTCCAGAAACCATCACCAACCCCCACTCTACTCCAGCAACCATCACCAACCCCACTCTACTATAGAAACCATCACCATCATTTTTCTACTCCAGAAACCATCAGCAACCCCCACTCTACTCCAGAAACCATCATCTTCCCCCACTCCACTCCAGAAACCATCACCAACCCCCACTCTCCTCCAGAAACCATCACCAACCCCCACTCTACTCCACAAACCACCACCAACCCCCACTCTACTCCAGAAACCATCATCTACCCCCACTCTACTCCAGAAACCATCAACAACCCCCACTCTACTCCAGAAACCATCACTAACCTCCACTCTACTCCAGAAACCATCACCAACCCCCACTCCACTCCAGAAACCATCACCAACCCCCACTCTACTCCAGAAACCATCATCTACCCCCACTCCACTCCAGAAACCATCACCAACCTCCACTTTACTCCAGAATCCATCGCTAACACCCAATCTACACCAGAAAACATAACCGATTCACACTCTATTCCAGAAAGCATCACCTACCCCCAATCTTTTCCAGAAACCAGCACCGATCCCAATTCTACTCCAAAAACAATCACCAACCCCCACTCTACTCCATAAGACATAACCGATCCTAACTCTGTTCCAGAAAGCATCACCTACCCCCACTCTATTCAAAAAACCATCACCAACCACCACTCTACTCCAGAAACCATCACCGACCCCCCCTCTACTCCAAAAAACATAACCGATTCACACTCTATTCCAGAAAGCATCACCTACCCCCAATCTTTTCCAGAAACCAGCACCAATCCAAATTCTACTCCAAAAACAATCACCAACCCCCACTCTACTCCAAAAGACATAACCGATCCTAACTCTGTTCCAGAAAGCATTACCTACCCCCACTCTATTCCAAAAACCATCACCAACCACCACTCTATTCCAGAAAACATCGCCAACCCTCACTCTACTCCAGAAACAAACAATCACCAACCCCACTGTACTATAGAAAACATCACCATCCCTTCTCTACTCAAGAAACAATCGCCAACCCAAACTCCACTCCAGAAACCATCACCAGCCCCCACTCTACTTCAGAAATCATCACCATCCCTTCTCTACTAAAGAAACAATCGCCAACACTCACTCTACTATAGAAACCATCACCATCTCTTCTCTACTCAAAAAGCCATCACCAACCCCAAATCTATTCCAGACCCCATTTATCAACCTCCACTCTACTCCGGAAAACATCACCAAACTCCACTCTACTCCGGAAAACATCACCAACCCCCACTCTACTCCAGAACACATCACCAACCCCCACTCTACTCAAAAAACCATCAACAACCCCCACTCTACTCCAGAAAACATCACCGACCCCCACTCTACTCCAGAAAACATCACCAACCCCCACTCAACTCCAGAAAGCATCACCTACCCCCAATCTTTATCCCAGAAACTATCACCCTCCCTTCTCTACTCTAGGAACAATCGCCAACCCTCACTCTACTCCAGAACCCATCACCAACCCCAAACCTATTCCAGACCCCATTTATCAACCTCCACTCTCCTCCGGAAAACATCACCACCCCCCACCCCCCTCAAAAAACCATCAACAACCCCCACTCTACTCCATAAAAATATAACCGATCCACACTCTATTCCAGAAACAGTCAACAACCCCCACTCTACACCAGAAAACATCACCAACCCCCACGCAACTCCAGAAAGCATCACCTACTCCCACTCTATTCCAAAACCCATCACCAACCACCACCACTCTACTCCAGAAACAATCACCAACCCCCACTCGACCCCGGAAAACACCGCCAACCCCCACCCTACTCCGGAAAACATCGCCATCCCCCACTCTCCGCCAGAAAACATCACCAACCCCCCCTCAACTCCAGAAAACATCACTCCAGAAACCATCACCAAACTTCACTTTACTCCAGAAACCATCTACTCCAAAAGACATAACCGATCCTAACTCTGCCCCACTCTACTCCATAAAAATATAACCGATCCACACTCTATTCCAGAAACAGTCACCAACCCCCCCTCTACTTCAGAAATCATCACCAACTCCACTCTATCCCAGAAACTATCACCCTCCCTTCTCTACTCTAGGAACAATCGCCAACCCTCACTCTACTCCAGAAACAATCACCAACCCCCACTCGACCCCGGAAAACACCGCCAACCCCCACCCTACTCCGGAAAACATCGACAACACCCACTATACTCCAGAAACCATCATCTTCCCCCACCCCACTCCAGAAACCATCGCCAACCCCCTCTCTACTCCAGAAACCATCATCTACCCCCACTCTACTCCAAAAAACATCACCAGCCCCCACTCTACTTCAGGAATCATCACCATCCCTTCTCTACTAAAGAAACAATCGCCAACACTGACTTTACTATAGAAACCATCACCATAATTTTTCTACTCCAGAAACCATCATCTCCCCCCGCGCCCCTCCAGAAACCATAACCAACCCCTACTCCACTCCAAAAACTATCACCGACCCCCACTCTACCCCAGAAACCATCACCAACCCCCTCTCTATCCAAAAGACATAACCGATCCTAACTCTGCCCCACTCTACTCCATAAAAACATAACCGATCCACACTCTATTCCAGAAACCATTCAACAACCCCACTCTACTATAGAAACCATCACAATCTCATCTCTACTCAAGAAGCCATCCCCAACCCCAAATCTATCCCAGACCCCATTTAGCAACCTCCACTCTACTCCGCAAAACATCACCAACCTCCAGTCTACTCCGGAAAACATCGCCAACCCTCACTCTACTCCAGAAAACCTCACCAACCCCCACTCAACTCCAGCAACCATCACCTACCCCCAATCTTTATCCCAGAAACTATCACCCTCCCTTCTCTACTCTAGGAACAATCGCCAACCCTCACTCTACTCCAGAAACACTATAGAAACCATCCCCATCTCATCTCTACTCAAGAAGCCATCCCCAACCCCAAATCTATTCCAGTCCCCATTTATCAACCTCCACTCTGCTCCGGAAAACATCACCAACCCCCCCTCAACTCCAGAAAACAACACCAACCCCCAGTCCGCTCCAGAAACCATAACCAACGGTACAACCCGCATCTGTTTATTGGTAGATAGTTTGGTAGCATCTGTTTAATGGTTTGCTCTACTCAAGAAACAATCGCCAATCCCCACTCTACCCCAGAAACCATCACCAACACCTACTCCACCCCAAAAACTATCACCGACCCCCACTCTATTCCAGAAACCATCACCACCCCCTACTCTACTCAAGAAAACATTACCAACCCCCACACCTCTAGGAACAATCGCCAACCCTCACTCTACTCCATAAAACATATCCGATCACAACTCTGTTCCAGAAACCATCACCTCCCCCCACTCTACTCCAGAACCCATCACCAACCCCCACTCGACCCCGGAAAACACCGCCAACCCCCACCCTACTCAAAAAACCATCAACAACCCCCCCTCTACTCCAGAACACATCACCACCCCCCACCCCCCTCAAAAAACCATCAACAACCCCCCCTCTACTCCAGAAACCACCACTAACCTCCACTCTACTCCAGAAACACTATAGAAACCATCACCATCTCATCTCTACTCAAGAAGCCATCCCCAACCCCAAATCTATTCCAGACCACTCTACTCCAAAAAACATCACCAACCCCCACCCTACTCCGGAAAACATCGCCAACCCTCACTCTACTCCATAAAAACATCACCGACCCCCACTCTACCCCAGAAACCATCACCTTCCCCCACTCTATTCCAAAACCCATCACCAACCACCACTCTACTCCAGAAACACTATAGAAACCATCCCCATCTCATCTCTACTCAAGAAGCCATCCCCAACCCCAAATCTATCCCAGACCCCATTTAGCAACCTCCACTCTACTCTGGAAAACATCACCAACCCCCCCCCCCCTCCAGAAACCATCACCACCCCCCTCTCTACTCCAGAAACCATCATCAACCCCCACTCTACTCCATCTACTAAAGAAACAATCGCCAACACTTACTCTACTATAGAAACCATCACCATCCCATCTCTACTCAAGAAGCCATCCCCAACCCCAAATCTATTCCAGACCCCATTTATCAACCCCCACTCTACTCTAGAAACCATCAGCAACCCCCACTCTACTCAAGAAAACATTACCAACCCCCACCCCTCTAGGAACAATCGCCAACCATCACTCTACTCCAGAAAATCTTACCCATCCCACTCTACTCCAGAACCCATCACCAACCCCAAATCTATTCCAGACCACTCTACTCCAAAAACCATCAACAACCCCCACTCTAAACCAGAAACCATCACCTACCCCCAATCTTTATCCCAGAAACTATCACCCTCCCTTCTCTACTCTAGGAACACCTACCCCCAATCTACTCCAGAAACCATCCCCGACCCCCACTCTGCGCCAGAAAACATCGCCAACCCTCACTCTACTCCAGAACCCATCACCAACCCCAAATCTATTCCAGACCACTCTACTCCAAAAAACATCACCAGCCCCCACTCTACTTCAGAAATCATCACCAGCCCCTCTCTACTAAAGAAACAATCGCCAACACTCACTCTGCTATAGAAACCATCACCATCCCATCTCTACTCAAGAAGCCATCCCCAACCCCAAATCTATTCATCACCAACCACCACTCTATTCCAGAAAACATCGCCAACCCCCACTCTACTTTAGAAACCATCACCATCTCATCTCTACTCAAGAAGCCATCACCAACCCCAAATCTATTCCAGACCCCATTTATCAACCTCCACTCTACTCCGGAAAACATCACCAACCTCCACTCTACTCCGGAAAACATCGCCAACCCCCACTCTACTCCAGAAAACATCACCAACCCCCACTCTACTCCAAAAAACATCACCAACCCCCACTCTACTCCAGAAAACATCACCGACCCCCACTCTACTCCAGAAAATATCACCAACCCCCACTCAACTCCAGAAAACATCACCAACCCCAACTCTACTTCAGAAAACATCAGCGATCCCCTCTGTATTCCAGAAACTATCACCTACCCCAACTCTTTTCCAGAAACCATCACTAACCTCCACTCTATTCCAGAAATCATCATCAACCCCCACTTTACTCCAGAAACCATCACCAACCCCTCTTCCACTCAGGAAACCATCATCAACCCTCACTTACTCCAGAAACCATCACCAACCCCTCTTCCACTCAGGAAACCATCATCAACCCCCACTTACTCCAGAAACCATCACGAACCCCCATTCTATTCCAGAAAGCATCACCAACCTCCACTTTACTCCAGAAACCATCACGAACCCCCATTCTATTCCAGAAAACATCACCAACCTCCACTTTACTCCAGAAACCATCACCGATCCCCACTCTATTCCAGAAACCATCACCAACNACCCCCACTCTATTCCAAAAACCATCACCAACCACCACTCTATTCCAGAAAACATCGCCAACCCTCACTCTACTCCATAAAAATATAACCGATCCACACTCTATTCCAGAAACCATCACCGACCCCCACTCTACTCCAGAAAACATCACCAACCCCACTCTACTCCAGAAATCATCACCAACTCCACTCTATCCCAGAAACTATCACCCTCCCTTCTCTACTCTAGGAACAATCGCCAACCCTCACTCTACTCCAGAAACAAACAATCACCAACCCCACTCTACTATAGAAAACATCACCATCTCTTCTCTACTCAAGAAACAATCGCCAACCCAAACTCCCCTCCAGAAACCATCACCAACCCCCACTCTACTTCAGAAATCATCACCATCCCTTCTCTACTAAAGAAACAATCGCCAACACTCACTCTACTATAGAAACCATCACCATCTCATCTCTACTCAAGAAGCCATCACCAACCCCAAATCTATTCCAGACCCCATTTATCAACCTCCACTCTACTCCGGAAAACATCACCAACCTCCACTCTACTCCGGAAAACATCGCCAACCCCCACTCTACTCCAGAAAACATCACCAACCCCCACTCTACTCCAAAAAACATCACCAACCCCCACTCTACTCCAGAAAACATCACCGACCCCCACTCTACTCCAGAAAATATCACCAACCCCCACTCAACTCCAGAAAACATCACCAACCCCAACTCTACTTCAGAAAACATCAGCGATCCCCTCTGTATTCCAGAAACTATCACCTACCCCAACTCTTTTCCAGAAACCATCACTAACCTCCACTCTATTCCAGAAATCATCATCAACCCCCACTTTACTCCAGAAACCATCACCAACCCCTCTTCCACTCAGGAAACCATCATCAACCCTCACTTACTCCAGAAACCATCACCAACCCCTCTTCCACTCAGGAAACCATCATCAACCCCCACTTACTCCAGAAACCATCACGAACCCCCATTCTATTCCAGAAAGCATCACCAACCTCCACTTTACTCCAGAAACCATCACGAACCCCCATTCTATTCCAGAAAACATCACCAACCTCCACTTTACTCCAGAAACCATCACCGATCCCCACTCTATTCCAGAAACCATCACCAACCCCCACTCTACTTTAGAAACCATCACCATCCATTCTCTACTCAAGAAACAATCGCCAATCCCCACTCTACTTTAGAAACCATCACCATCCATTCTCTACTCAAGAAACAATCACCAATCCCCACTCTACTATAGAAACCATCACCATCTTTTTTCTACTCAAGAAATAATCGCCAACCTCAACCCCAACTCTACTCCAGAAACCATCACCAACCTCCACTTTACTCCAGAAACCATCACCAACCCCTACTCTACTCAAGAAAACATTACCAAACCCCACACTTATTTAGAAAGCATAGTCAATCTAGTTTTTACCTATGAAGTGGTTCAGGAAGTCTAAACTCTATCAAGAACGTTACAAATGGTGAGAAAATTGTTCTGGCTTGGTTTAGGTATTAGAAGTAGGCTGTTAAGAAGACCTTTCGTAGAGGTGCCACTGTACTTGTTGACTAAAAGTAATTACGATAGGCACATGACGGGTTATGACAGTATGGCTTTGTTAGAACGTAGCACACCATTCAATTGTCCCGTTACTGAGATCTTATAGTGGTGTTTAATCAAGCAAGTCGTGCTGACAACAATCCAGGAGAGCTGCTGGCGTGACCAGTAAATGGCAATTTAGACCATGACAAGCACACTTACTTCTATCTAACTGGCCAATTAATCGGGCAGGGTATTGGAGAGGTCAGCAGTGAGTGTTGCACGTAACAAGCTTGATGGCAGCGAAACGGCTCCTGAAGTATACCAGCGGTGGTCTAGAAGGTCGCATATGTCATGCAGTATGACAGTGCAAATGTCTCACGGCTACTTGAGTATGACAGCAGTAGCTACACATGTCTCACGGCTCCTGGAGTATGACAGCAGTAGCTGCACAGGTCTCACGGCTCCTGGAGTATGACAGCAGTAGCTACAAAAGTACCAGGTTCCTGCAGTATGACTGCAGTAGCTACACAAATCTCGCGGCTCCTGCAGTATGACAGCAGTAGCTACACAAATCTCGCGGCTCCTGGAGTATGACAGCAGTATCTACAAAGGTCCGACAGCTCCTGGAGTATGACAGCAGTAGCTACAAAAGTCCGATGGCCCCAGGAGTATGACAGCAGTATCTACAACAGTCTCACAGCTCCTGGAGTATGACAACAGTATCTACAAAAGTCCGATGGCCCCAGGAGTATGACAGCAGTAGCTGCAACAGTCTCATATCTCCTGGAGTATGAAAGTAGAAGGTACAAAAGTTTCACGGTTCCTGGAGTATGACAGCAGTAGCTTTAACAGTCTCACGGCTCCTGGAGTATGGCAGCAGTATATACAAAAGTCAGACGGCTCCTGGAGTATGACAGCAGTAGCTACAAAAGTCTCACGACTTCTGGAGTATGACAGCAGTAGCTACAACAGTCTCACTGCTCCTGGAGTATGACAGCAGTAGCTACAAAGGTCCGACGGTTCCTGGAGTATGACAGCAGTAGCTACAAAAGTCCGACGGTTCCTGGAGTATGACAGCAGTATTTAAAAAAGTCCGACGGTTCCTGGAGTATGACAACAGTAGCTACAACAGTCTCACGGTTCCGGGAGTATGACAACAGTGGCTACAACAGTCTCAATGCCCCTGGAGTATGACAGCAGCAGCTACAACAGTCTCACGAATCCTGGAGTATGACAGCAGTAGCTACACAAGTCGCGCGGCGCCTGGAGTATGACAGCAGTAGCTACAAAAGTCTCACGACTTCTGGAGTATGACAGCAGTAGCTACAAAAGTCTCACTGCTCCTGGAGTATGACGGCAGTAGCTACAAAAGTCTCACGGTTCCTGGGGTAGGACAGCAGTAGCTATAAAAGTATCGCGGCTCCTGGAGTATGACAGCAGCAGCTACAACAGTATCACTGCTCCTGGAGGATGACAGCAGTAGCTACAAAAGTCCGACGGTTCCTGGAGTATGACAGCAGTAGCTACAAAAGTCTCGCGGCTCCTGGAGTATGACAGCAGTAGCTACAAAAGTTTCACGGTTCCTGGAGTATGACAGCAGTAGCTACAACAGTATCACTGCTCCTAGAGTATGACAGCAGTAGCTACAAAAGTCTCACGGTTCCTGGAGTATGACAGCAGTAGCTTCAAAAGTATCGCGGCTCCTGGAGTATGACTACAGTAGCTACAAGAGTATGACAGCAGTAGCTACACATGTCTCACGGCTCCTGGAGGATGACAGCAGTAGCTACAACAGTCTCACGACTTTTGGAGTATGACAGCAGTAGCTACAATAGTCTCACGACTTCTGGAGTATGACAGCAGTAGCTACAAAAGTCCGACGGTTCCTAGAGTATGACAGCAGTAGCTACAAAAGTCTCACGGTTCCTGGGGGAGGACAGCAGTAGCTATAAAAGTATCGCGGCTCCTGGAGTATGACAGCAGCAGCTACAACAGTATCACTGCTCCTGGAGGATGACAGCAGTAGCTACAAAAGTCCGACGGTTCCTGGAGTATGACAGCAGTATTTAAAAAAGTCCGACGGCTCCTGGAGTATGACAACAGTAGCTACAGCAGTCTCTAAAAGTATCGCGGCTCCTGGAGTATGACAGCAGCAGCTACAACAGTCTCACGACTCCTGGAGTATGACAGCAGTAGCTACACCAGTCGCGCGCCTCCGGGAGTAGACAACAGTAGCTACAAAAGTCCGACTGTTCCTGGAATATTACAACAGTAGCTACAAAAGTATCGCGGCTCCTGGAGTATGACAACAGTAGCTACAGCAGTCTCTAAAAGTATCGCGGCTCCTGGAGTATGACAGCAGTATCTACAAAAGTCTCGCGGCTCCTGGAGTATGACAACAGGAACTACAACAGTCTCATGACTTCTGGAGTATGACAGCAGTAGCTACAAAAGTCTCACGGTTCCTGGGGGAGGACAGCAGTAGCTATAAAAGTATCGCGGCTCCTGGAGGATGACAGCAGTAGCTACAAAAGTCCGACGGTTCCTGGAGTATGACAGCAGTATTTAAAAAAGTCCGACGGTTCCTGGAGTATGACAACAGTAGCTACAACAGTCTCACGGTTCCTGGAGTATTACAGCAGTAGCTACAACAGTCTCACGGCTCCTGGAGTATGACAGCAGCAGCCAATGCCCCAGGAGTATGACAGCAGTAGCTACAACAGTCTCACGGTTCCTGGAGTATTACAGCAGTAGCTACAACAGTCTCACGGCTCCTGGAGTATGACAGCAGCAGCCAATGCCCCAGGAGTATGACAGCAGTAGCTACAACAGTCTCACGGCTCCTGGAGTATGACAACAGTAGCTACAAAAGTCTCACGGTTCCCGGAGTATGACAACAGTAGCTACAACAGTCTCAATGCCCCTGGAGTATGACAGCAGCAGCTACAACAGTCTCACGAATCCTGGAGTATGACAGCAGTAGCTACACAAGTCGCGCGGCGCCTGGAGTATGACAGCAGTAGCTACAAAAGTTTCACGGTTCCTGGAGTATGACAGCAGTAGCTACAACAGTATCACTGCTCCTAGAGTATGACAGCAGTAGCTACAAAAGTCTCACGACTTCTGGAGTATGACAGCAGTAGCTACAAAAGTCTCACGACTTCTGGAGTATGACAGCAGTAGCTACAAAAGTCTCGCGGCTCCTGGAGTATGACAAAAGTAGCTACAACAGTCTCATGACTTCTGGAGTATGACAGCAGTAGCTACAAAAGTCCGACGGTTCCTAGAGTATGACAGCAGTAGCTACAAAAGTCCGACGGTTCCTAGAGTATGACAGCAGTAGCTACACAAGTCTCACGACTCCTGGAGTATGACAGCAGTAGCTACACCAGTCGCGCGGCTCCTGGAGTATGACAGCAGTAGCTACACCAGTCGCGCGGCTCCTGGAGTATGACAGCAGTAGCTACACCAGTCGCGCGCCTCCGGGAGTAGACAACAGTAGTCTCACGGCTCCTGGAGTATGGCAGCAGTATATACAAAAGTCAGACGGCTCCTGGAGTATGACAGCAGTAGCTACACCAGTCGCGCGGCTCCTGGAGTATGACAGCAGTAGCTACAACAGTATCACTGTAGCTACAACAGTCTCACGACTTCTGGAGTGTGACAGCAGTATCTACAAAAGTCTCGCGGCTCCTGGAGTATGACAGCAGTAGCTACACCAGTCGCGCGCCTCCGGGAGTAGACAACAGTAGCTACAAAAGTCCGACTGTTCCTGGAATATTACAACAGTAGCTACAAAAGTATCGCGGCTCCTGGAGTATGACAGCAGCAGCTACAACAGTCTCACGACTCCTGGAGTATGGCAGCAGTATCTACAACAGTCTCACTGCTCCTGGAGTAGACAAAAGTAGCAACAAAAGTCCGACGGTTCCTGGAGTATGACAGCAGTATTTAAAAAAGTCCGACGGCTCCTGGAGTATGACAACAGTAGCTACAAAAGTCTCACGGTTCCCGGAGTATGACAACAGTCGCTACAACAGTCTCACGGTTCCTGGAGTATGACAACAGTAGCTACAACAGTCTCACGGCTCCTGGAGTATGACAGCAGTAGCTACAAAAGTCTCACGACTCCTGGAGTATGACAGCAGTAGCTACAAAAGTCTCACGGTTCCCGGAGTACGACAACAGTCGCTACAACAGTCTCACGGTTCCTGGAGTATGACAACAGTAGCTACATGACTTATGGAGTGTGACAGCAGTAGCTACAACAGTCTCACGACTTCTGGAGTGTGACAGCAGTATCTACAAAAGTCTCGCGGCTCCTGGAGTATGACAACAGTAGCTACAACAGTCTCATGACTTTTGGAGTATGACAGCAGTAGCTACAACAGTCTCACGACATTTGGAGTATGACAGCAGTAGCTACAATAGTCTCACGACTTCTGTAGTATGACAGCAGTAGCTACAAAAGTCCGACGGCTCCTGGAGTATGACAGCAGTATCTACAAAAGTCTCGCGGCTCCTGGAGTATGACAGCAGCAGCTACAAAAGTCTCGCGGCTCCTGGAGTATGACTACAGTAGCTACAACAGTCTCACGACTTCTGGAGTGTGACAGCAGTAGCTACAAAAGGCCTCCTGGAGTATGACAGCAGTATTTACAAAAGCCCGACGGCTCCTGGAGTACCTGGAGTATGGCAGCAGTAGCTACAAA